GAACCCTCACCGCGCGGGAATTCCCTAGACTCCAGAGAGGTTGGAACTCTTACGCCACGGATATATATCATTCATATGTTTTCGAATTCGTCTCAAAACTTTCATGGAATTTCAGGCTTAGCGAACCAATAGACTTCCGATGATCAGCAGAAATCGGCCGAGCGAGTTCACCGTGGAGCATGCTCATTTCACCCTAATCGTGGTTGACGCTCGAATTCCAAGCTGAATAGAATGCACTCGAAGTGTTCGCCACAACAGGACCCCTGTCAAGTGTAGCACCGCTCCGACACGGCGACGAGCCGAGAGTCGTCGGGCGACGCTACATAGTGAATCAATCTCATGCTCTTCAGATTGCGAGCGGGTAAGGAATGCTATCCTCATCCCAGAGGGATCGATTCCCAGCCATCCAGCACCTACCTCCGCTTTCCAGATGAAGCGAAATATTGATGGAGTTTCAACCATATTTACGGATTGATCCATTTTCCCCATCGAGGTGAGCCCCTACGGGGAGGACTGTAAGCCTCGTTGAACGAGACCATGGGTGTCAACTTTTTCCGCGCAGTGGCTCCTCCTCGACAGAATCCCATCGGCCCAGAGGCCACTTGCCTAAGTGATGAAATGTGCCGACTCTCTCCGGGGGATAGTATCCCCCCCCTTTTGGAATAACTGTGGAATCCTATTAATAGAGGAATCAGAAGAATCATCGTTAACAATGAGCACATCTCTTTGCTAACGACCTTAGAAAGAGATCGTAGATTTCAATGTAGCTGTAAATTCGTTTTTGCCCCGGTCATTTATCTCATGTCATGTCTTATGAATCGTCAGTGAGCTCATCGATGCTAACCAAAACTGATCGATGCCGAGCAAACCCTATCCATTCCGGCCTGTCCTCTCCAATTCTGATCGAGGCTTCTGCTTCCCAGAGGGGAAGGCACTGGCTCCTCGAACTTCGGGGCCATTCATGGGGCGATCCGATCATCGCGTCGAGGAGATGAATCGGCGAACAGCTGAGAGACTGTTACCGAGGAAAGGTCCTCCCGATAGGCATCCCCTGGGCACTCAATTCGGTGCTGAAGAGGAGGCTATGCTATGGAGGTGATTGCTACTTGCGCTGCGTTCTCAGCACAAGGAGTTTGGCGCCCCGCAACCCGGCGAAATACGCGATACAATGGTTTTCTAGATCGTTCTCACAGCTTACATGCAAGCAGCGACCAGAAACCACGAGCCAGCTTGCTGTGCGGTCTTTGGCATAAAAACTTTTCACCTCTGAGCACAGTCTCGCCGGCACAATCATCTCATGTTTACGAAAAATTTGAGCCAGGAGAGGATCCGACGCTTTCCCGTGGGCAATTTGCCCCGAATCAAGTGTTTTGAAGTGCTTGACCGTACTTCGGGGACTGTTCCCGGTGATGGGGCTGCAGGAAATAGGAAGAATCAAGCTCAATGAGAATTAAGGCGACACTGCTAAGCATCTCTGTTGAAATGACTTGATGTGATGTGACCATAATTTGGACAAGC